ATGTGTAAGCCGCTCAATAGGGCCTCAGTTCTTAGAGGGAAGTCTGGTATGGGTACACCGGAGGAGTCGAGCGTTGAATTAAATGAGAATTTCCGAGCAAAGCATTCAGCCTTGTCGGTAGAGGAGGTCAAGACCTCGAACTGGTTGAATAAAGGAGGTTTTGTATTGTTCAGGACGCTCTTGCAGAGCCGCCAATGATCTTTGGAGCCAAATTTGCGAGATGCAATACGCTCCTTCATCCGAGCAGCAGATATTGACTTAGCTTCGTTGAGGACACGCTTACACTCGTTACGGGCGGAGGCAAAGAGACGTTTATTGCAGTCCGACATGTCGCTACGAAATATGGTGAAAGAAGTGGTTCCTATGGGCGATGGCGGCTGAGCAAGCAGCGGAGAACCAAGGGGAGGAGTGCGACTTGACCTTAAATTTCCTTTGAGGGGATGAAAGCGTCGATTCCAGCTTTAACCCAGGATGAGACCTCAGAAGCACATTCTTGGACAGGGAGTGTAAAGACAACATCCCAGGGGACATCGCGGAGGAAGTCACGGAACGAGTCCCAATCCGCTCGTTGATAGTAGAACGAGGTTCTAGTGATGGGAGGTTCTTTGCAGGGTGTGGAGTTGAAGGAAATGTTAACAGATACCAGCGCATGATCAGAGTTACCAAGAGGGCAGAGCTGCGTGGCGCTACAAGATTCGGGGATGGAGGTAAAACACAGATCGAGAAGGAAGGCCTTGCCTGCCAGGTTGAGGGCAAAACGCGTTTTGGTTTATTAACTATCTGCGTGAGGGATTGAGAAATTGAAAATTAAATGTTTGAATGCCAATGTTTTCATCTTTTTATTGCAAATATTTGGAAAAATGTATTTAAAGTCACAAATTAGAAATATGTCATAATAGATCATTCTATCATTAATCGTATCCTTGAATTTTTCTTGAGGAAAAAGTTGAATATATATTTTGATAAAATTAAAAATATTTTTTTTAAAATGTTATCCCTTTGTTTTTTTTTCCGACTTAGCAGAATGCTTTTATTTTTTCTAGTAAAGGTTGAAAAAACACCAATATCAATGATATCAAAATGGAAAAAATTTTTCTCCTTTTGCTAATCAATTGTGCTTAGTTTAATTTTTCCTAAAATTTTAGCATACAGTAAAAATTTCATTCAGACCAAAGTTTTTGAAATTTCTAAGTTTAAATCCCTAAAATTTATTTTTGTAAGGTCCTCAATATAAATTATTTATTGAACTTTTGAATTTGATAAAAAAAGATCATTTTTTATTTTTTAATTTAATTCATGTATCGTAAGCTTACAAAACAATAAATTTTTCGGATTTTGGTTATTTTAATATTCTTAACGATGTCTTTTTTTAAATTGATTTCTATTTCAAAAATTGCTTGTATAAAATTTAAAAAAAAACTGATTCAAAATTTTAAACTGTTTTCATATATTTTTGCTATTTATCTATTTATCTATGGATAGATTTTATTGATTTTATCTTTGAGTTGATCAACTAATAAATATCAAATCAATTATCCAAAAACATCTCATACGTTAAAATATATGATATAAATTATATGAATCTCTTATTCTTCTATCTATTGCTATCTATTTCTTGGAAATTACCAATATATGTTTGATCATTCCATTCTAAATATTGGATGGCATTTCTAAATTTTATTGTAAGAAAACTCTAAATTTAAAACCTTATCAAATTTGTTTGAAATCATATTGTTCTTTTCTTCCTTTCAATTACATAAAAATCTAATTTGTCCTTTGGAAAAATATTGTTTTCTCCTCCTAAATAAACCTTAAATTGAATTATAATTTTGTTCAAGTGTTAACAAACTATATCAAATTCATTTGGAATTGAAAAAGATTTCTTTGTTATTTAGGTATTTGATATATGTTTTAAAATCTATTTTTATTATTTGAAGAATATGCATTTTTTTTTTTTAAACTCGTTTATGTATATTTTAAAATAACAAAATAAATTTTATTTTTTGTTTCCCCTCCATTTAAATAATTTGACAATTTCATTCCATTTTTTTTTTTAATTTCTTTCTTCTTTTCTCTCAAAAAAATATTACTATTCATATTTTTTTCCGTGAACTATTGTTCTTTTCCAATGATGTTCATCATTATATTTTTTGTTTGACATGTTAAATGTCTTTTTCTTTAACTATTTTTTAAAAGTTTTTAAAAAAATCCTCAAAATGAATGTAAACAATCTAAACATCAAAAAAAAATAAATTCAAAAAAGTATAAATGAGTTGGTGTTTTTGTCACAACTGGTTTTTATTCATATGTTTTTTTTTTTGAAAACAATTTTTGTGAAATTTTAATCAATTTTTTTATAATTTTGAAAGCATTTTTAATTATTTGTCTAATTAAATTTCAATTTTTTATTTTTGTACACAAATTTCATTTTTATCCGATATTAAACAAATTCAAAAAATGTTTAATGGATACCCATTTTTTTAAAAAATATATATATATTTTTTATTGAAAATATAGAAATAGTTTTAATTAAATAAATTATTTAAAAATATTTTGTTTAACAATTTCTTTTTTTGAATCAAATAAATGCAAGAAATTTTAAATTCATAATTTTTATTTATTTTTTAAAATTTTTATATTAATTGAATGAAATAATTTCTGAAATTTTTTTAAATCCGATCTAAAAATAAAAAATTTAAATTCCTCCGGGATGGATATATATATATATATTTTAAATTTAAATTTTCAAAAAATCCTCAGCTAATGTTTAATTTTTCTTGGCGCCTCCTTTATTTCTTTTGGTCTAATTTAGAAAAAACATTTCTCCCCTGGAAAATTCATTGATTAAAAATTTAATAAAGTGAAAAAAAAAAAAATTTAACCATTTTTCGAATATTTAGATCCATGAATATTTAAATATATTTTTCATGTGTTTATCTTTTGCTTTTCAAACAATGCGCATTTTTTGTTTCGAAATTTACATTTGCACGGTCCAAAATATCGAATGAATTATTATTTTTGCATTGATTTTCCATTGTTCCGATGAAAATTTTGTTGTTTTAGCGATTTTTTTTTCTACTGTTTTTATTTATTAAGTTTACTGTAAATTAATTTTAAAATTAAAAATTGAAAAAATGTCTTTTTTTTCAGTTTAAAATTTCTAGGGTTTTTAAAACCATAATTTTTTTTTTGTGACTAACACAGCATTATTTATTTAAAAATAGTATATTATTCGTCTAAGTGGGATTTAAATTAAACCTTTTTTAAAAAATTGGCTCATTCATTTTTTTTAAAGTTAAAGCGTTGAAATTCCAAAAAAAAACTTCTTTAAAAAAGATATTTGTTGTTAAATTCTTTTTAAATGGTGATTTTTCCATTTTAAAAGTATTTTTTTTAATTGATGTTATTAAATTCAAGGCTAGTCCTGGGCAAACTCAGAAACTGCAGATTTAATAATATATGTATATAACAGAAAAATATATCGCAGTGTGAGACATATAAATAATTAAGGCTATGTAGCAAATTTTGGGCAAAGTTCAATTTTAAAATCAAGGAAGGGAAAAAATTTTAAGGATAAATATTTATTTGCTGTTAATTACTGGAATGCTGATAAAAAATAAATAAAACCGGCACAGGATTCGATATTTTATTTTCATTTGTTTTTAAAAAATAATTTTCCATATATATTGTATACAACTAAATATATCAATATGGTTTTTTTTTTAATATCATTAATGGTAACAAAATAAATTAGAAATTAGGTTAGTTTTTTCCTGTGTTTTTAATTTTTAAGACTAAATTTTAATAAGACCTTTGAAATAAACACTTGCAAATAAATGATGCTATTTTTGCACGTTTATCAAATCATCCGTTCTCCGAAAACATCGTCTTTCTTCCGTTATTTCGCAGACGCTTTAAACAAGATGTCATTTTGCATTGTTTTGACCAAGAAATCTGGCGCGAACATTCGCCTTCAGTTATTCTTTATTTTGTTACAACGTCTGATTCACCAAATATTTTATAAATTTATTTAATTCCCCAAAAATTTTTAGCCTTCATCTTATTTTAGTCAAGACCTTTTTTTTACTTTGCTTTAGCAGGATGCGATTTTAATAAAATTTTATACCGGGTTTGGCAATTAGATAAACTGCATTGGCTCTTTTATATTGCCTTCTCGTCAATAGAAGATTTATATATAATCTTTAATTTAATTTTCAAAAACTCCGCAGGTTTTTTTTCCATAGAAATAGATGAATGAACGCTTTTCGTATATAATTTTCTGGGATTAATTAAAAACTAAAATGTTGACGTAAAATTATTTTCACATATTATTATATATTTTTTGCTATTTATGAATTCAAACGCGTACAGTTTATTATAAGGACAATGGCGGACTAATAAGTCCAACTGAAGACAAAGAAAACAAACAAGACCAAAATATATGTCAACAAATATATGTATTAAAACAAAAAAATTTTACAAGTCAAAAGGCATCAACATTTGTGTTTTCTACGTAAAGAGTTTGTATTTTGGTGAATGTTCATACGTACGTGTATGTGTGCTTCATGTTCATGGCGTCTCCACAAATGGGAAGACGCTTCTTCTGCGAGAGCTTACATTGTAGATGTGTTTTTTAAATTCAAGAAGTTTTATAGTGTAGGGAGAACGACCCCTAGTGAACAATTAAGGAATTAAGAAGGAGCTAACTCCGACAAGTAAAACAGTAAACCCGTTATATATGAAATCATTGAAGCCATTGAAAACTTTTGTTTAATACATCCTACCCGTAATATCACCACGTTTTTCTTAAAAATTAAAATAATGAAGAGAAGAGTTCAAATATGTTGTTAAATGGCTGGCTGGCTGGCTCGTTTGGTTGGTTGTTTGTTATATTTTACGCAGGACTAACCTAAAAGTTTCTAAGGCGAAATCGTTTAGCTAATGATTGAACGAGAAGAGAACGTAATCCTCGCCCAGATATCGATATTTTTTGGCGCGAAATGAACCAAGATAGCGCGAGGCGGAGCTGGGGTAAAGAATATAATAAAAGAAAGAAGCAGACGATAAGAAAGCAAAATAATTTCTGCTTTCAGTTCGAATTTTTTTTTTTTTAACCATTTTTTATTTCTTTGAGAAATATTGGCTCCAATTTCGATGTTCTTCCTCAAAAGGCGATAGTTTGCGACGTAAATGCAGTCATTTAACATCAAACACAAGCATTTTATATTCACTCTACGGATTACGCCATATTATCTTCCCACCAACATTCTATCACTTTTCTCGCTTTTTCTATTTCTTTTTCTTAACTCATTCGTTTCATCTCCATGTTTGTTTCTTTTTTTCTTCTTCTCTCTTGCAGTTTTTCTGTCTATTCAAGTCTCCAGCTCTTTCTTTCTTCATCATCCTCTTTCAATCTGGGCGATATCTTTCGGCTTATTTATCAATCGATCGCTTTTTTTCATTCTATTTATAGACGTGCGCACGCGCAGTAGGACAGACGTGGCAGGAGATAAAGGTCTGTCATTTTTATGCGCTTCCTATCTATCTATCTATCTATCTATCTATCTCAGTTTGTTCATTATCTATCTATCTATCTATCTATCTATCTATCTATCTATCTATCTGTCTCATTTGCTTCAGTCCATGATATTCTCGTTTGGTTTATTTTATATAGCGATATATCAACACCTCTATGGGTTATTCAATGCCGAAATCTAAATATTTTCAACACAATTGTATGCCTTCAACTACAGATAAAATCTAGTGTTGGTAATGTTCCTATAAATAGGTATTGTTAGTAATTTTACTACAAATAAGTAGTGTTGATAACTCTTTTTTATATAAAAATTCTATTGCTGGTATTTTTAATGTAAAGTATTTCTAAACTTTCGTAGTGTTTTGTTTTTGTTTGGGGGATTCACTATTTGCCCATGGCTGGGACCCTAACAGGTGCTACCACCCCGAGTCAGAGGTGGTTCTACGCTCTGAGGTATTCTACAGTTTCAAGTCTCTTCTCATTGAGTCAGATGTTGAAACAAGACGGAAGGGTCTCGCCATTCACTTAAAAATTATGATGCTTCTAAAATCCTGTTCGTGTTGCTTTACATTTTTTCATTAAGATACCTTTGCTGCTTACGCATTGCGTCCATGATAATCTCAACATCCTTCTGTAGAACCACATTTCAGCACTCTTTTCTTTGTTTTTGTTGCAACTTTATCGCTGAGAAGATTGTCCAACATTCACTGCCATATAGGAGGACTGATATTGCGAAACAGTTCAGGACTCTTTTCTTTGTTTCTGTTGCTTCAAATCTCTTCTTCATCTGTGAGGAGATTGTCCAGCATTCACTGCCATATAGGCGGATTTATATTATAAAACTGTTCAGCACTCCTTGTTACTAATGAAACGTTTCTATCACCTTTTTGATCCTAAATAAGTTGTTGTTTTCGTCTTAGGCACGATGTTTGCGATATTGAGGTTGAATCTATTTTTGTCAAGCGGCCTCTGTTGGCAAGCTTTGAGGCAAAAGATCCGATATTTGATATCGGCTATCGATCAGATTTTTGTAATACTATTCAGGGCACAGTAATCACCTTCATATGAGTAATGACGGTCAGATTTTGAAGCAAGATGGAGAGGAAATCCATTCACTTTTAGATGAAATTCTAAGGTTTCTAAAATCCAGATCACCTGGCCTGAGTTTTTTTCTCTGCAAAAATCTGTCAGTTTTAAGCAAAAAAAAAAAAAAACCGATAATATATCTTCCTTTATCAATCATGAAATAAACTCCCCATGAAAAAAGATTTTACAAAATATTTTAAAATTTCAGAAAATTAACAACCAAAATATGCAAATATCAATGACGTAAGCCCAGTTTCAAACTTGACATTTGTAAATAAAAACTAGGTCCAGATAACTCAGTAAAAAGTCTTGTGATTGTATTTTTTATTATAAATGAACACCTACTTTAGGAATTAATTTTAAAAAGTCAGTATTTTTCTATTCTGAAAAATGCCGTGGTTTATTGAAGATCTATTGAGTGTTGATGTCAGTTACGACTAAGTAGTGAGTTCGATTCTCACCGGGTGCTTCATACTTTTGCCACGTCTAAGCAATACTTAGAAAAAATTTCTGACTACATCGATGCGGTGTAATGGTTTGTCTCGCTAGATCAACTAGGTAGTGGTTTCGATTCTCACAGGGTGCTCCATACATTCGGCCTTGTGCCACGTCTAAGCTACATTTAGAAAAACACTATGAGACACTTCGACATGGTGCAATGGTTAGCAAGCTTGTCTCGCTAAGTCAGTCACGACTGAATAGTGAGTTCGGTGCTCACTGGGGGCCCCATACTTTCAGCCTTGTGCCACGACGTTTAGAAAAACACTATTGGACACTTTGGTGTGAGGTAATGATTAGCAAGCTTATCTCGCTAGATCAATTACGACTGAATAGTGATTTCGATTCTCACTGAGTGCCCTAAACTTTCGGCCTTGTGCCACATCTAAGCTACGTTTTGAAAGACACTATGGGGCACTTCGACAAGGTGTAATAGTTAATAAGCTTGTCTCGCTAGATCAATTACGACTGACTTCGATTCTCACTGGGTGCTCCATGCTTTCGACCTTGTGTCACATCTAAGCTAAAAAAAACAATTCGAGTCACTTAGGATAAGCTTGTCTCACTAGATCAAATACGACTGAATATTAAGTTCGAATCAAACTCGGTGCTCCATATTTTTGGCCTTGTGCCACATCTGAGCAATACTTAGAAAACCTCTGTTACAGAATTGAATAAGTTATCATAAATTTGAATAAGATCGATTTAAAAATAAACTTTGTGCGCATGCGCGTGAATGCCTCTGTGTGGTTTATGAAAGAGAGTTATTGTGTGCTTACCTTAAGTTGCGATTATCTTTCAATGGATGCGACTGACACCAGGCCGTCCATACGAAGGATTTGATAAATCGCCTACTTAACACCCTCCACCTCTAACCTAACCACGACCGCTAACAGAAAAAATGTTCAATGCATATCGTCGAAACAATTTAAATCCAGTCCAATCGGCTTTTCTTTCTTTTTTCTTTTTTTTTTTTTTTACACGCAAACTATAATAATGGCTGGCCAGTCGCTGACTGTTTGTGTTTTCATTTTGGGGGTTAAAGAAACCTTGTATATCTTACGGCTTTTACTTATAATTCTCAGAGATTTGATGTATTTTAAAAATATGTTCGAGACTCCTAAGCAGATGCAGAAGAGACTTGAAGTAACAAAAATATGATTCAGTTAAAGGGTACTGAAAATATCAATGCCCGAACATGTGAACAAAGACGATGTTCTAGAGAAAATGGAATCAAAAAGGACATTTGTCCTTAACATCAGGAAGGAAGAGTTGAAATTTCTAAGACGCATAATGAGGAAAGAGGGCTTGGAAAAGTTGACACTCACAAGACAAATTGAAGGTAATATGGAGAGAGGGAAGCAACACTAAATGACTAAATGGATAGTGGAACAGAAGAAAAAGAAGAAGAAAACGAAGAAATAAAAGGCATGAATCAAAAAGGAAAAAAGTAAAAAAAGAAAATAGAAAAAAAGCAGAAAAAGTAGAACATACGAAGGAAAAAGAAGAAAAGAAGAAAAAATTTTAAAAAAAGAGAAAGAAGAAGAAAAAGAAGGAAGAAGAAGAAAAAAGATATGAATCAAAAAGAAAAAAGAAGAAAATAGAAAAAAAGCAGAAAAAGAACATAAGAAGAAAAAAGAAGAAAAATAAAAAAGAGAAAGAAGAAGGAAAATAAAAAAGAGAAAGAAGAAGAAAAAGAAGGAAGAAGAAGAAAAAGAAGAAGAAGAAAAAAGATATTAATCAAAAAGAAAAAAGAAAAATAGAAAAAGAAAAAATAGGAAAAACAGAAAAAGAAGAAGAAAAAAAGAAAAAAGAAGAAAAGAAGAAAAATAAAAAAAAAAGAAAAAAGAAAAAAAATGAATCAAAAAGAAAAAAAAAGGGAAAAAAAAAAAAAATGGATTCGTTTTTCTACGGCTTATCAACACATTGCAGGCTATTTAAAGCCAGAAAATATTTTTTGGAAACCTTAATGATAATTATTTTTTCTCTAGAGAATAAATATATTTCTTTTAAAAAATAATTTTGCATCGTCAAATGAATAAATTAGAAACATATCACACACAGCAGTGTATGTTAATCACTCTGTCTTCATTTTTTTTTAAATTATAGAAGGAATCGTTTCGCCAAAGAAAAAAGGAAGCGACTTTTCCGCCATTTCTAAGCCAGATGCTTATGCGCATGCTCTTTGGTTGCAAAAATGGCGGCGGTATCTTTAATGAAAAAATTACCTTGAATTTTTTTTTATTTTTGTATTAGTGCAGCCTACCTTATGATAAACAGTGCGTCATACGGCCCACTGTTCAGAAAAGGTTGCTCATGACTGTCTTACACTAACAGATCAGTTTTACCTCTCAACCAGCTAGAAATCTTTTTTCTCCCGACTCATCTCTCTATAACGATGCGTGGCTGGCAACTCTCATTGGCAGCATGGAACTACCTCGCGGACAGCCTTCACCCGGTAAATGCAGCCCGGCACTACTTCGTGGGACTGTCTGTCTCACGCCAAGTGCGGTACAGAATTTCTCTCAATCCCAACAGGCCGCTAATATAGACTCGCTACCGGAAATCCTCAGCGTCCAACCTGTTGGCACTTGCCCCCTAAAATTTTCATTTATTTATCTATTATTTCATTTTTTTTTTTTTTTTTGGGGTCAAATGAACAGCTGCTTTGAAGATAGCATTTCACAGGCGCTTGTCATAAAACATGTAACAATACTGAGATAAAATCACACATTAAACCACCTCTATATGGATGTCACGTTGACTGCAAGGAAGAGACTACTAAAGTATTTTATGCTTCTTATTACTGCTGTAGTAAATTCGAACTGAGGACACCGTCTTGCATCAAACTAAGCTAAATCTATCTATAAAATTATGTTACTTCTGTTAGTCCGTCCCTCTAAAATAGCCATACATTGTCAGATCGAAACCAAATTTGGGAGAGAAGTGCAAACAGGTAGGGGGTACAAAGTACAGTTGGTTTTATTAGGGTGCGTAGATTAGTAGAAAAGATTTTCATTCATTTTTTTTCGGGGGGGGGATTAAAAGTTTTATTATTTAACATATAAAATACTCCTAGTATTTTAAAAATAATTTAATGATTAAAATAACAATTTTAATAAAAACACAATATTGTTTTTAGCATATCTTTTCCTTCTTTCATTTTATGTATCATGTCCTTTCAGGACGTAGGCGATCATGGCTCTCCACCTCCCTCTATCCCTTGCAAATTCCTTCCCTCTGCTTCCTCCCGTTTTGTCATCCCCCTGCTCAAGCCCGCCAGTTATTTCACACGCTGCTTTCCCTTGTCTCTCGTTCCCTCTATTCGACCCGTGAGTATCATATTCTCCAGGCCCTCCTTCCTCATTATGTGTCCTAGAAACTTCAGCTGCCTCTTCCTGATGTTAAGTATAAGCCTTGTTTGTAACCTAAGGCCTCATCGTTGCTCACATGCTCGGTCTGTGATATCCTTAGCATCCTTCTGTAGAACCACATCTCCGTCACCTCGAGTTTTTTCCTCATCCTTGAGGAAATCGTCCAACATTTGAAGTTTTTTTTTATATATAAGAATACAGTTTCCAGTTGGCACTGCGTTTGCGAGAACTATAAAAAAAATCACAAGGCCAAATTCTTCAAATTCTTGGCCCCAGAAAAATATTTACGTATGGCTAGTTGTCATGATTTTCCAAGTGTAGCTTAGATGTGGCACAAGGCCGAAAGTAGGGGGCATTCAGTGAGGACCGCACTCACTACTCAGTTGTAATTGTTCTAGCGAATCAAGCTTGATAACCATTACACCGCTTCGAGGTACCCACGCATGGCTAATTGTATGTTGCATGCTCAAGAGTAAGAAATCCTAAGAATTTATTCTTCGCTCTTAAAAAGGAAAAAAAATCAAATTTCAGCGACTCGTTTGCGAAATTGAATAAAAAGTAGATTTTGTAAATCTCGACATAAAATGTTAGAGATAACTTCAAAAATACTAAGCACTGAGGATTTCCATACAATTCGGCGTGACATCCAACCACGGAAAAGAACGAAATCACTCGATCTGAATTAACGGAATTCTTCAAACTGTCTTGTACATCTCAAAGGTTCAGATGGGACGCGTTCATTTGTTAGCGTTTATTACTTCATCAGGTGATGTCACGTGGTATCCCAAGAGTGAAAAGCAGATGGCTGAATCAATCTCTTTAAGGTTACTCGCCTTCGGAAATCTACGCTAAATTATCCGTTTTTTGTTTTTGTTTTTTTTTTAGTTGTGGATGGTGGCGGGCGGGGGGTACATTTTATTTTTTTTTCACTCAGTCTCATTTGGATTTCCACCCACGTGTGTTTTCTCCGATCAACAAACGTTTTCACAGATATTTCTATTTTCATTCACTACTCGCTTTTGTTTTCATATATTCTTTCTTTTTTCTTTCTTTCTTTCTTGCTTCTTTTCTTTTCTCTTCTTTCTTTCCATCTTTTCTACTGTTTTTCTTTCTTCCTTTCTCTTCTTTTATCTTTCTTTCTTTCTTTCTTTCTTTCTTTCTTATCTGCTTGCTTTTCACGCATTGCTACTTCTTTCTTTTTCTTTTTTCTTTCTTTCTTGCTTCTTTTCTTTTCTCTTCTTTCTTTCCATCTTCTCTACTGTTTTTCTTTCTCCCTTTCTCTTCTTTTATCTTTCTTTTTTCTTTCTTCTTTCTTTCTTTCTTTCTTTCTTATTTGCTTGCTTTCCACGCATTGCTACTTCTTTCTTTTTCTTTTTCTTTCTTTCTTTCTTTCTTTCTTTTTTTTCTTTGCTTTTTCTTTCTTTTTTTGCTATAATTCTCTTTTGCCTTCTCTTTTCTTTTTTCTTTCTTTCTTTCTTTCTTTTTTTCTTTTCTCTTCTTTCTTTCCATCTTCTCTACTGTTTTTCTTTCTCCTTTTCTCTTATATCTTTCTTTCTTTCTTTCTTCTCTTCTGTTTTCTTATCTTCTCTACTCTTATCTTTATTCGTTTATCTTTTTTTTCTTTCGTTCTTTCCTTTTTCTCTTTTCTTTCTTTCTTCTCTTTTTCTTTTCTTTTCTTTCTTTCTTCTCTTTTTCTTTTCTTTTCTTTTCTTTCTTTCTTTCTTTCTTTCTTTCTTTCTTTCTTTCTTTCCCACCGGTTTATTTTCTCTTTCTTATTTCTTATTTTCAGGATATTTTTCCTTATAACGTCCGCCTCGGATTTCGCGCTTTTATTCGTTTTACGTCTTTCTTTCCTCTTTGTTTCTTTTACTCTTTTCTTCCTTCTCTCTCTCTCTCTCTCTCTCTCTCTCTTGCTTTTTCTTTCCTCTTCTAATTTACTTTCTTTTTCTTTCTATTTTTCTTTCTTTCTTTATTCCTTTCTTTTTTCTTCTTTCTTTATTTTTTTGTCTTCCTTTCGCCTTCTCCCATTTTATCTATATTTCTTTATTTCTTTTGCCCTCTTTTTCACATTACTTTCATTTTCTTTTCTTTCTTCCTTTAACACTTTTGTCTTCTCTTCATTTTTTTCTTCCTTTTTATCTGTCTCTTCCTTTCTTCTTCGTCTTCTTTTTAAGTATTTTCCTTTTTTTCTACCGTTTTCATTTTCCTTCAACATTTTTTTTTCTTTTTTCTTTTCTCCTTTTTTCAGTTCTCTTTCTTCTTTTTCTAATCTTCTTTCTTTCTTTCCCCTTTACTTTATTATATCATTTCTTTTTTTTTATTTATCTATTTTTTTTGTCATTTTTTCTTTTCTTCATTTCTTTTCTTTTTCTTCTTCTTCTTCTTCTTCTTCGTTACTTCCTTTACTTTTCCTTTTACGTTTACCGTTTATATTTTCTTTTTCCCTTTCTTTCCCACCTTTTCTCTTCTCCTTTTCTTTCTCTTTCGTCTCTTTCCTTCCTTTTCCTTTCTCTTTTTCCTTCACTTCCTTTTTCTCTTTTCTTCTTTTGCCTTTTTTTTTTTCGTTTTCTTTCAACATTTTCTTTTTTTTTATCTTTTTATTTTTGTCCCTTTCTTTCTTTTTAACCTTTCTTCTTTCTTTTCTTCTTGCCTCCTTCTTCCTTTACGTTCTTTTTTGCTATTTTTCGTTTTCTTTCTACATTTTTCTTTCTTTTCTCTTTTCCTTTTTTCTCTTCTTTTTTTAATTTTTTTCTTTTTCTTTTTCTTTTTTTCTTACTTTCCTTTCTATTCTTCTACCTTTTTTCATTATCTCTTTAACGTTCTTTCCTTCATTCACTTTCCCCCTCCCTCAACTTCCCTTTTTTCTTCCGCCTTTTCTCTTCTTTTTCCTCTTTTTTTTTTTTTCTTCGGTTTTTCATTATCTTCTTCTTTTCTCTTCATTTTTTTATACTACTCTGTAGTTTCCTCCTATTTTCGTTTGTTTTTCTTCTTCCTTTTTTTCTTCATTCTTTTCTCTTCTTTCTTCGTTTCATTCTTTTCTTTTCCCTCCTTTTCTTTATTTCGCCCCTTTTCTCTTTCTTTTCTATATTTGTTCATTCTGTACATCTCTTTTTTAAAAAAATTTTTTCTTCTTCCTCCTCTTCTACGGTTATTTCTTTAAAAAGCTTTCTTTTTACCTATGTTCTTTCTTTTTTCTTTCCCCTCCTCATTTTTTCTTTCCTCTTCACATTTTTTCTTTCTTCTTCGCATTTTTTATATTCCCATTTTTTATTTCCTTTTCCCTTTTTATCTTTCCTTTTCCCTGTTTTTTCTTTCATCTTCACATTTTTTCTTTCCTTTTCCCATTTTTGTCTTCCCTCTCTGCATTTTTTATTTCCTCTTCTCATTTTTCTTTCCTTTTCACATTTTTTTCTTTCTTCTTCATATTTTTCTTTCCACTTCCCATTTTTTCTTTTTCTCTTCACATTTTTTCTCTTCATATTTTTTTTCTTCACATTTTTTCTCTTCACATTTTTTCCTTTCATCTTCACATTTTTTCCTTTCACCTGTCTTCCCTCTCTCCATTTTTTATTTCCTCTTCTCATTTTTCTTTCCTCTTCACATTTTTTCTTTCTTCTTCGCATTTTTTCTTTCTTCATCACATTTTTTTTCTTCACAATTTTTATTTTCTTTTCCCATTTTTGTCTTTCCTCTTCACATTATTTTTTTATTTCATCTTCCCGTTTTTTTTTTCTTTCCTTTCCTCATTTTTGACTTTCTTCTTTCCATTTTTTCCCGTTTTCCTAACAGGTGTTACCACCCCGGGTCAGTGTAAACCTCGGAACAACAGCAATTAAGTAATAGTTCCACGCTCCTCAAAACCTCTAATCATAGATCTTGATGCAGGATGTAGTTTATCGTCATACACAAGACATCAGGAATAGAGCGCATGTAAATATTGAACATTAAATAGCTAAAATCTTTACTTTATATATTATATATATATATATATATATATATATATATATATATATATATATAATTCAATTCAGAGCATCTTTCTGAATCCATCCAGCTCTTATCTTAAATAACAGCTTAAAAACATTTTACTAACACATTTGACTGACCAAAATTCATGTTAAAACTAAAAAAAAAAAAACAAAACAAATGGAAACTACAACTACATTTTCATGGTAGCTGTTCTGATGAACTAACTTTCCACATGGCCCGACTTCATGAATTGAAGCGTGATACTAGATTGGCATCTAGGTCCCACCCTTTTACTAGTGATATAGTTAAATGCAACCACCACTTCTACACCAGTAGTTTCTTTTTCTTCCCGACAGTGAAACTCCCTTCCTCTTACTTGCTTCCCTGATAACTACAATCTTCACAAATTTAAATGCAACGTCAATCGCCATCTACCGTTGCCATGATCCCCGTTCCTCTTTTATCCTAGCCTCATTCCCCCTCTCCCCTCCATACAGTCTTTTCCCTCACCTTCAATCTCTCCCCCCCCCCGCGTGCTGGTGGCTCACCCGCCTTGGGTGAAATGATTAAAAAAATGGTCTTGCCAGTTTCATTTAGTTTCTTTTTTTTTTTTTTTTCATGTTTTTATCGCTTTTGTTATTAAGTGTCGCACATTGTGATAATAGAAGATCCGTCAAGAAAAAAGACGTAAATTTACTGTGGATAGTCAAGCGATTAAAGCACTTTCTGAATAAATTGGGTTCTCTTTTAATTAAAGTAGCAGTTTTTAAATCGAAATTATGGTCAGAGTCGTTTCACTGGGGTGTTTAATATCTTCTGTGGCCAGCACGATCGTCAGACCTATTAGTCATAAAAGTATGGAACATGATGGGAGGACGTCTGACTCAGTCGGTTAACCCGCCTACAACAGCTTCAATATTTAAAGGAGGCGTTTTTTAGTGAATAATAGGATGGTATCTGCTATATGTACGATCGTATACATGCGAATGTACAGATCAGAGATGAGGCCCAAATATGTGTTGTAAGGAGTCTACGGCGATACAAAACTTATTATAGATAGATAGATAGATAGATACGAACAGATTGAGATAGATAGCTAGATAGATACGAACAGACTGAGATAGATAGTAATTTTCCAAGCACAGCTTAGATGTGGCACAAGGCCGAAATTATGGGCACCCAGTGAGGATCAAACTCACTACGCAGTCATAATTGTTCTTTTCTTCATTTTTAACCATTACGCCGCCTCGAGGTGCCCTAGATAAATGAATAGATAGATAGATGAATGAGATTATAGATAGATAGATGATTGATACGAACAGACTAAGATAGATAGATATAGATAGATAGATGAATAGATAGGATAGATAGATGAATAGATAGATTCATCCATGATACAGACTAGATAGATAGATAGATAGATACGAACAGATGAGATAGATAGATAGATAAATAGATACGAACAGACTGAGATAGATAGATAGATATGAACAGACTAGGATAGAGAGAGACAGACAGACAAGACAGACAGACAGAGACAGACAGACACCGAAAGAGTCAGACAGACAAATAATCAGGTATTGATGAAAAGACTGAGATAGATCGATAGCTGTACAAATATAAAGACTGATAGATAGATAGATAGATAGATAGATAGATAGATAGATAGATAGATAGATAAAAAAAGAAAGAAAAAAAAGAAAAAGAAGAAAAAAAAGAAAAGAAATTGTCCATTTATAGTAGTTGCATATTCAAAATCTCTTCGAATGTATTTCTTGTTCATTTCCGCGACTTTTACCAGAGATTCAAATCATTCCACAAACAGTACTTCACTGTTGTTTGCATTCACAATCGAAGTTGAACAGCCCAAAGCGGCGTCCATTGCAGGCAACAACAACAAAAAGACCACAAAAAATGTGCGGCGGCGGAGGAGGGGGGGGGCGGTAGGCTGTTGCAATCTTTACAGAGACAAGGCACAGACAAATGAAGAAACCTTCTTTACATTTGGAGCATACGGAGGCTTCGTTATTTTCAGAAATGAGTTTCGCCCACCCAATAAACATATGCGCATAGCCGCCCTCACATATCGAGAATAGCCAGAAAGAAAATGCTTACATTGTTTCCGCAATATCCTGACATTTTTAAGTGTCAAGTAGGAAAGAAAAATTGTTTGGCACCGGACAAGTAGACAATGGAATTATCCATCATTATTTGACGAGAAGGAAAAGTTCTATTCAAATCAGATCGTCTCTATTTTTGATGGCTTTCTCATCTCACCCTCTTTCTTTCTTGCTTTTTTTTTTTTCTTAAATTTTTCTTTCCTTTTTCTTTCTTCCCTTCTTTCTTTCTTAAATCTTTCTTTCTTTCTTTCTTTTGTTAATTCTTTTTTCTCCGTCTTTTTTCTTTGTTTTTAGCATTCTTTTCTTGTCTTTCTTTCTTTCTTTCTTTTCTTTTTTAATTTCTTTTTTATTTCTATCTTTCTTTTGGTCATTCTTTTTTTCTTTTTGTCTTTTCTTTCTTTCTTTCATTCTTTCTTTCTTTTTTGTCCTATCTTTTTTCTTTCTGGCTTTCTTTTCTTTCTATCTTTCTTTGCTTTCTTTCTTTCCTTCTTTTTTCTTTCTTTCTTTCTTTCTTTTTTCTTTCTTTCCTTCTTTCTTTCTTTCTTTCTTTAATTTTTTCTTTCTTGTGTTATTTCTTTTTACCGTGTCTTTTTTCTTTGTTTTTATCATTCTTTTCTTTCTTTCTTTCTTTCTTTCTTTCTTTCTTTCTTTCTTTCTTTAATTTCTTTTTATTTCTATCTTTCTTTTGGCCATTCTTTTTTCTGTCTTTCTTTCTTTCTTTCTTTCTTTCTTTTGTCCTTCGAGTTTAGCAAAGCTCAAATTTGAACCTGGTTGACCCGGAAGTCTTCTGTGGCTGAACCGCTTAACAGAAATATCAGATGAAATGATTGTTTCCGTTTAGGAATACAGGTTCGATTCCTGTCAGAGGACGCATATTTTCTACGAAATTTCTCGAACATTCAGGCCGTTAAATCTAATTAATCCTGTTTAATTAAAAACAGAGCATTTATTTAAATAAATTGTATCTATAAAAATAACGTATAAACAGAAAATATATATTAAAATATTTGTCAGATTAATGAGTTTATATATATATATATATATATATATATATATTTAAATCTGCATTTCCGTCTTTTATTTGGAAATTCAAACTTTTAGATTCAAAGTGTAATTATATAACGTTTATAAAAGAGGATTTACTAAAGTCAATTTTCGTGAATTCTCATTTGCGTCGTAGAAGTTCCCGATTTTATCATATAGTCTAACACAGGGGTCGGCAACCTACGGCACGCGTGTCGCACGTGGCACGCCAAGCAATTTCCACTGGCACACAGTGAACTAAAATACGTATGCCAACACCATCATCATAATGTGGCGTGGGACTGTGTGGGAGCCACACCTAGGAATATCAAAAGTCCATTTTCATGGCCGTCCTGGGTAAGACGATAAACTACGTCCAGCAGCAAGGCCTCTGATCAGGAGGTTTTGTGGAGCGTGGAACCACCTCTTTATTGCTGGTGTTCCCAGGTCCACTCTCATCCGGGGCGGTAGCACCTGTTAGGGTCCCAGCTATGGGCAAATAGTTAACTCCCAAACTCAAAACACTGTGAACGTTGGAAAATGGGTTTTAATACCAGAAATACTCTGTAAAAAATTATTACCAGCTATACATTTTTTAAATAGATTTTTTTAAAGAAAAAAATATTACAAAA